ATTACCCATATTCTATAGAAAAAATAAATAAATGGAAAGCTAAAATCTTCTAGAAACTTTATTAATTTAAAGAGAAAAACTGTATGCTGCAAAAGCTGTATGCTGCAGAAACTGTATGCTTTCATTAAGGTTTTTAAAAAGGTGATTGGTAGAGCAGTAGCAGTATACAATTTTTAAAATATCATAATAGTTAGTATAATAATATATTTATTTTAAAATAATATTTACATATTTATAATATATGTTAATAATATATTTATTAAAAATAATGAATCTTATTNTATATAAATTATATTATAGTTTATATATGAAATATTATTATTTAAAAAAGTAAAATAGATTGTTTTGGATATAAAAATATTTTAATATTATTAAATAAATAAATTAATTACTTAGAATTTATATATAAATTATCATAAAGTTAATAGATGTTATATAATTTATTTATTAGTGTTTAATAATATATATATATATATATATGTGTGTGTGTGTGTGTGTTTATATTATAATACATATATAAATTATATTTGTTATTAAAAATAATGAATGATATGTGTAATTATATAAATTATATTATATTTTAAATGTGAAGTATTGTTCTGTTTATAAAATTAAAATATATTTAATTATAATTATAATTTTTATTTTTGAAATATAAAAATATTTTTTGATTATAGAAATATTTTTATATTATTAAAAAAATTAATTATATTTAATTATTTTTAGTTTTATATATTTTAACTGCAAATGCTCTTCCAAAAGCTCCATATGAGAGCATTGGGCAAATAGCATTTGGAGAGCATTAGCATTTGATAAATGCTTTTCTAAATGCTTCTTGGTCAAATGTGATTGGATAATAGAGACTTCTTGGTCAAATGTGATTGGATAATAGAGAGCATAATGCTTATGCTAATGCTATACCAATTAAGCCCTAAGAAAAGGTAAGAACTATCTCTTAAATAAGAGATATAAGAATATTATTAACCCAGTCTTTTAGCCGTGGTTCTTAACTCATGATTTAACTTTTTTTTTTTTCATTTTTCGGTTAAGAGACGGCTCTTATATCTTATTTAAGAGACGGTTCTTAGCTTTTCTTAGTGAAAATCTAAAAAATATTATGAACCATCTTTTAGCCGAAGTTAAGAATTCCAGTTAAGAGACTGGGGTTAGTGATGGTCTAAGAGCCATCTCTTAGCCAAAAATATATTTTTTAAATGTCAAATTATGAGTTAAGAACTTCAGCTGGAACTTAAGAGACCGGGATTAATCATGCTCGGATACTTTTTGTTTGGTAGCATATACTTAAGGATACTTCAATAAATTATACTGACATTCCCTGTATAATAATTATATTCTGGTATTAAGAAATTTGAGTAATTTAAAAATGGTATCTTTAATACAAACCTTAAACTTTCTAAAATTGGTACTCTTCCGCTATATATTTTTTGAATAACTTGACCACATTATGGCTTTTCTACTGTCATGCTTACATCCAAAGCATGCTTTCAAGGCTTCTTTGACTTCACTATCACAGAATTTGAATTTACACAAGATTTAAACCAAAATAATAGATTACTCGCAACACTAACTCAAATTGTGGCTTACTTGAACTTGCTACATCACGCTTGGAATCACAGATAATTTCGATGACACGTTTCATTAATTGTTTTATTTTTTTCTGTACATTCTCATCAGTTAGAGTATGATTGGATTTCTCGCTACCACCCGTAAATACTGGTTTTATAGTTGATAGCAGTTATCGACGTTTTGTAATAATCATAGAAAACACTATAAATCTTTTCAAACCATTCTAAACCTTTAAAATTTGAAAGTTGGTTCCAACTAGCTTTTGCGGCTGCGGACGGTGGCAGAGAAGATAAAAAATATATTTCTTTACAAAAAGTTATATAAATATAAAATAAACATATTTAATTAAAATTTTCAAATTAAACTAATAGACATACCAAAATTAAATTATATTTTAGTTATATGATAAAACTTCAAAATAAAAAAATCTTTATTTTTTTAAAAAATTAATAATATAATTTTTAATATTTTATAAATATTTAAGATATAAATGTTGTTAATTTATTATTTAACCACATATTGAATAGTTAACCTGTCATAAATATCCGCAAACACAAATTCTTTTAACCATTAAACCAGTAATTTCAATACTAACGATTAAAATCGCAATCATTCATATCCGTAAAGTTTATAACTATAATCGTAACCATTGCGGGTACACTGGTTAGGCCTTTAGTCGTAAATCAAAAGGAATTTGTAGCCCAACCTTTGAATTTATTTCATATACTGAAAATGACATAAATTTCCTTAAATTTTAAATATACCTATGCTAGTATAAATAATTTAATTTGAAAACTCACCAATCGGAGTAAGCGGGACCAACGTCGGCTATACGTTTGTCAATTCTCATTATGATTATTAAAGATCCTTTAATAAATTTGGTTCGTGAATGAAGACTGCAAAAGAGTTGCACAGTCTATGTTGGTGACCCCAACCTCAACATATCTCACTCACACACTAACCAAAAGAGATTCTGATTCTTGTTTTTTCTCATCCACATATTGTTTATAATTATCTTTTCTTGTACTATAATTTACAAACAAATGTTTTTTTTTCTATGACTTTGTGGATTCATCTCCCCTAAGGTGCTTGAGAAACGTCATTATGTCATTTCATTATATGAATAACTAGTACGCAAATTAGATTCAATAACAATGAAATAAAGTATAGCTAAATATATATAACAAAAAAGCACTTTTAATATTACTTAATTTATTTATTTCTTTATATTTACTTCTAAATAATGGTAAACCTCTTCTTCCATGTTCATCGTCAGTTTTTCTATAAACATACGGTCCATATCCATCACGTAGGTCATTACCCCTCCCTTTCCACGGCCATATTAATTTCCGCTATAAAAGATCACTGTTTTCTTTGTATCCACAATTATTGTTTTTTTTTGTAATCACCACCGCTATAACTCCGAATGTAATATGTAGAACAACTGCGGTGCAGTTTGAACAATAACAAATATGTATAGATACATAAATATATGTAAAAAAAATTATTACAATTTACAACGGTGCACAGTGGGACGGACAGTCACCATTCAAAGCATATAGTCATCCCAAGCACAACCACCACCACCAGATCCCTAATTTCTGCCAGGTATTTCAAATCAATGACAAGTTAATCACCACCTATTTCATCAGATCTATCTCCACTGTCGCTATGATAATCACGACCGCCATGGTCTCCTTTACTGCTGCTTTAAATTTTTGTAAATGATATAAAACATTTTTGCACAAATTTTGGAGTTTAGAACATGACTAATGAGAGTATATTAATTGGTATCTAACATTTAAAGAAAAAAAGAAAAAAATGAGAGAGAACTGATTCACGTACGAGAAGGATCTCTTTGTCCACCACATGTTATCATTAAAATACATCTCTTTGCTATTTGTTCTCATCTTATAATTTAATTACTTAATTTATATTAAAATTTTGATTATTTAATGAAAATATTAATATTTTGTAATTGAGAACCTCTGTTTACAAAATTAGGATAATGTTGCTTTTAGAACATGATTAATTAATAATCAGTTTTTAGTTTTTTTAGTTTAAGTTAAGACACTGTTTTTTATATTCCGCTAACAATCTATTCTAAAAACTCATTAATCATGTTCTTAGTTTTGATTGGTATGTGTGTTTTTCTCTTTAAATTAATAAAGTTTCTAGAAGATTTTAGCTTTCCATTTATTTATTTTTTCTATAGAATATGGGTAATTGTGTTTGTTTTCAAAGATAAAACCATCTACTTCGACCCCTGATTAGTAAAAAGTTCGATTTAGTTAGACGAAAAAAAGTTCGATTTAGTGAGACCAAAAAAAAGGTTCGATTTAGGAAACCAATTTATAATTTTGTTATTATTCTGGTCCATGCAAAAAGCTTAAAAATTGAGTGCATTACCAAATAGAACACTTTTTTCTTTTTTTCTACATTATAAGACACAATCTGCTTGTAGAGCACTTTCACGGAGTCCAATGAGTATTTTGGACGAAAATGTCCTTTTGTCCAATAAAAAAGGTCTTGTTGATTCGTTATGTTTTTTGTTTAGTTAGGACAGTTTTAGTTAGTAATTGCTTTAAGAAACTTTAGTTAGTAATTAGTTTTTTTTTTATAAATTATTATGATACGAAAATCTGATATCTGCCGTTGGATGGAAGAATAAAAAAAAATCATAGAGGTAGAATCATTTCTACTTTATGCACCCCCATCATATTTAATTAGTTATCATTTCAATTTCTGATATGTAAATAAAAATATAATATCCATATAGAAACCAATTTTTTTTTTCTTATTCTATTGATATCCATATACATATACTTTAATATTTAACTAAATTTTCAAACTATAACTTATTGGATACGTGTTTTGTGGACGTGGACAAAGAAAATATGTTTTCCAAATTTTATGTTTTGTTTTTTTTAAGATATATATGACAGTTTTTTTACTATAACAAATTCTTTTTTATTTTATATATTATAATATCCACTTGATATATTTTGTGATGTTTTAATTTTCTATATATATATATTTTTATATATAATCCCATACAAAAAAATATATGGACATGGATGATAAAATAATCTATCTCTTAACATTCATTTTTCTGTATATGTATTAATATATATATGAATATATATATATATACCTATACAAAAAGTGGATATGGACATTAAAAATGTGGATAATAGAATTATAAACTATATGTGCACATGGATATCAAAACTAAACATTGACACTAAAACGTTAACATCTGTACTTTCACCAATAAATAAAGAAGTTTTTCATTAAAGCAAGCACTTTTCCTTCCTCCATTTGCGATCTTTCATTTATTTCATCGAGAAAAAAAAGAGAGATCCAAGCTTATATATGTAAACCCAGATGGAAAATTTTTAACTTTTTACTTCTTAGATCTCCAACTTTTTAATCTCAGATTCTGATACGAGAAAATAAAGTGATATTGGAACCTGTAAATTTGAACTCTTTGTAAAAAAAATGAATGAAGCTAACCGTCATACCACCGGAGCTTGTCATCGTCTTTTCCAGAATAGACCTCGGACCTGCTGTTGTCGGGTTTTCTCCACACTGGAGCTCGGACCTGCTCGCCGTCCCGTCGTCCTCTCCACAACAAAGCCCATACCTGCTTGCCGTCACGTCTTCTTCTCCACACCGAAGCTCAGATCTGCTCATCATCTCTCCCATCCACAAAATCTCAAGATTTGATTTAATTGGGAAATTACAGCATAAAACAATTAAAACAAGAAAAGGATAAAAAGATAAGTTGTATTTTATTGTTTTAATTGAAATGCTTAGTTACGAAGAAAGCATATTGAGAAGAAACAAAGTTGGGGGTATAAAAGACATTCGACATACAGAAAGTGTGCTTCCAGCACTAAGTGTCTAATTGTGTAAATTGAAAGTAGAAATGTGTCTTAGAGCGTAAAAAAATCTTAAAAATTCAACTTTTGCTTAGTCAACCCACGTGCGGACAATCCAAGTCAAACATATTCTCCACCGTTGCGTTGCCTGTGAGCCCACCCACGACCTATAGCTCTTCTTTATTCACTTGGAAGTTGAACACATTGTACTTTTTTGCAAGAAAATTCATTTGTGTTATCAGCCAAGAAACACATATTTTAAAACAAGCGCTGTGTTTTACCATTGATCGTGACTATATATACCAAGAAGCTTAGAAATTCTTTATATTCAAATATATTTAAAATATGAAATTTCAATGCGTAAGAAAATTCTAATACTTCAACAGAGTTGTATTCATATAATATATATATCGAGTCCGAATATTAGGTCTTATAGTTAGGACCCACGTATGCTTCCCGCCTATAAAGATCTCAAATCAAATCCCGTCAAACACATGCAGCAGAAAAACACAGAAACACGTATTCTAGTTAGCACACGAAGAGATACAATCTTGGTCATTGTTCTTTTTTTATTTATAAACTCTATACACAGAGACGTATACTTAGTTATGAAACAAGGAGGTCGTGGTGGCGGTGGAGGTGAGCAAGGAAAGTACCGGGGAGTTCGAAGGCGGCCTTGGGGAAAATACGCGGCGGAGATACGTGATTCTAGGAAGCATGGTGAACGCATATGGCTTGGAACGTTTGATACCGCGGAGGAAGCAGCTAGAGCCTATGATCAAGCGGCTTACTCCATGAGAGGCCAAGCCGCGATTCTTAATTTCCCTCATGAGTATAACATGGGTAGTGGTGGTGCAGCCACAGTGGCTGGATCCTCGTCCTCCTCCGCTTCTTCTTCTAGGCAAGTTATTGAGTTTGAGTATTTAGATGATAGTGTTCTGGAGGAACTCCTCGAGGATCCTAACAAGAAGAATAGTAACAAGGGAAAGAAGAAGTGAGTGAAATGTTAATTCGTTTTCACTTTTCACAAAAGCAACAAAGTTTATGATAAAATTAGTATCTACTAATAAACTACATGCAACGATCATAAGACCATTCTCAATAAAAAACGATCATTTGACCATGTGTGGAGCATTAATTAGGAACCAATGATTTACGACCTATTTTACTTTTCGAGGATATATATTTTTTTTTCCCCCGAAAATAGCCACGAATTTTGGCTCAATAGCCACAATTTTCCAATCTGTAGCTATGTAGAAAATTTCTACTAGTATTGTTATTCACTGATTATCATTATAGCGAACATATAAACCATGTATGTTCAATAGGAAAGAGATGAGAGAAAGATAATTTGAAAGATTGAGAAAAAAAATAGGCTGTGAAAAGATGATTAATTAAGTTTTCGTACACTAAGTTGAGAGATGATCGTATATTACATCATTTATGGAGGGGTAAGAAGTATTAAAATGTAAAATAGTGGTCTAAAAATAATTTGAACTAGATTTTGACCCGCGCTTAGAAAGCGCGGGTTTTCTTAGATTATAAATGCAATTTGAAGTTGTTATAAAGTGAAGCAGAGATTTTTTTAAAAAATTATACAACTTATGAAGTAGCTTGTTTGGGATTTTGTATATACATTTGTATTTATATGTAATTCTTTCTTACGTATGTAAATTTTCTACGGATCCAAGAAA